CAGAAAGTTCCTCTCCAATTTCAAGTTACACCCTCTCTTTACCTGTTTCTAGTAGCATAAAAATCCAATTTGATATTGTAAGCCAAATATGCCATCTATTAAACTTTGTAAACAAACAAAAAAAAAAGAAAAAATTCCTTCTAAAATGGCATGAGAAAGAAACGCTGCACAATCTTCTATCTTTAGAGAAGAACTGTAATAAACTTCTCCAAAATATCTAGCATATTCAACATAATAACATTTTCAAGCAATTAGTTACCCTTTATAATTAAATAAACAAATGCACAACCATATAAAATAAAAGTCATCATATTTATTACAAAAGTAAAGACTAAATTTTCTAAGATACATGTGCATTTTTGTATCAAAATTTCAACTTTGAAAGCCTATCTTGCTTTTTAATTTTGATAATTGAAACTGGGCTAATTGCTCTGATTATTGCCCAAAAAAAAAAGGTCGGAACAATGTTGTTCTGACAATTTGGCAGTAGAAAACTATGCCTACCGGGCTGAGTCAGTCCGGTAGACAAGAGAATTCTTTTTTTTTTTTTTTAAGGTTTGAGCCCTGCAGCCTGTAGCTTACTTTAAAAAAAAAATAAAAACTTATGCTATCGGTAGCCTTTGTGGTTAATTTTTTGTTAAGCTCAAACGTATGAAAAAGGTCAAGATAAATTTGCTAAATTAATTATTTTTATCCCTAAAAAAAGTTTTTAGATAAAAAAATGTCATTCAATTTACAAGAATATGCATTTTCCAAATGTTTGAAAAATAATCGTTGAAATTATTATGTATAAAATTTGGTTTTATATTTTTTTATAAAATATATAGAAAATTGATATATATCTAAATAAAATATACAAATAAATTATTATTTGGTAGTGGGTTGTTAAAAGAATAAAGGTAAAAATAAATATAATAGTACTTAAAAGTACTTAACAATGTTTAGTCGGCTGACAACCTGCAACTTAACTTTAAAAAAAAAAAAAAGAAAAAAACTTGCAAGCCGGCAGCCAGCTTAAATTTCTTTTTTTAATTAAAAACTTTTGCTGGCTGTAGTTGGGGTTCGCCTGCACCATTAGCACAAAAAAGCTGCAGGGGAATCTCTTTTCGATCAATGGAGCTCACTTGCTCCTTTCCTTATCTTTTCCTTTTTTTTTTCCCGGATGGAATAATGCAAGTTTTGCTTTTTCCCCTCTGACTCATACGCAGACGGAGTCAGTTTTCTGTTAGCCGGGAACGTGTCCAGTCAGCACGTCTCCTCTGACACCGACTGTGCATCATTGAATTTTTTGCAGAGAAGATTTTGGGTGGAATTTTTAGTTATGCGGCCGTGCTGAGTCAGCACGGCCGCTATACAATTAGAAAAATCCCACGTCAGAGGTGCATTTGACGGATGTTTTTTTTAAATACAAATAATCTGAGAAATTAGCCCTGGTGTGGTGACTAATATGTTATTACAACTAATTTACAAATAGTCGCTGGTAATTTTATCTTGATTTTGCTTCGAGTGTTTTGACTGATTTTGAGATGGGCCCAGATCTCCGCGTAAAAGGTTTAGGCGCAGGTGGAACCCACCGACCGAAATTAATCAGAACCAGTGCCGCTGAACGCGCTTTTATTTTCTTTTTGCTCCTTCTCTCTTCCTTTCTCCCTCCCTTTCTTACATTGATTTTATTTTAGCCCCCTACAGCAGCAGTAGGAAATTTGAATTGCTCCTGAAAGTGAAAATTTGTAATGTGGCCTACAAGCAAGAAAAACTATTCACATGTGGCCCTTGGGGTGTTTAAATCAACTAAAGTTATATTTGTCTCCAACACCCAACTTAGCTAATACGGTGTTAGCCAAATAATAATTATTGAGTTTGTTTGGATAAGAATTTATTTGGATGATTTATTTGATTCAGTTACTATAGCACTTTTTGTGATGTGATGTATGTGAGATAAAAAGGTGATTGGGAATTGTGTGTCGCAAGCAAAACAAAATCTGAAAATTTTATTTCAAATTCTTGTTGTCTAAACAAACTATAAGTTCCTGATTTTAGTACTGCTCTCGCGGCTTATGCATAAATAATACTTTACCTATAGATATCCAAATGCATCTCAATGGATTTAGATGACCTTTTTTTTTTCTATCCCTTTATAAGGTTTGGAGTGTTTCTTGAACTCAGAAGGAAAAAAAAAATTTTCAACTATATTGGCACGCTTTATATTTCTACTTCATTAAAGCATGCATTTATTTATTTTCTTCTTGGGGTCAAAATGAAGTATGAGTTTAATGGTGAAAGGTGTTGATGAAGTTATTTTATTAAATGTTATGATGAAAATGAAGCAAAAACGTGATATTATAAATTTAAGTGAAAGAAAGGCAGTCACAAAATTACTTTAAAATGTCACAATTTGTTTAGACGTAATGCATTACTCCTCTTTAATCAACTAGAAAGGACTCTAGAGCTATCAAACAAATTACTTAAGCAAAGTTAGTAACTATATTTTTTTTTTTACACTTACACACAGAAATGAAAAGTTTCAATTTATTAGACTCTAGATTGCAATTTTTTCACCAATAACTATGCGAGAGATTAAGATGACAATCATTATATATTCATTTTTGATATTTCAATGTTAATTCATCTTGGGGCTTACAAGTTACAAGTAGAAAGTAAACACAAAAAAATTAAAACTATAATTTCATTCGTGTAAAGGACCGACTGAATCGAAATCTTTTCAACTTTAAGGGCTCAATTAAAACTTTTGATTCATTTAAAGGGCCAAAATGAAATTAATCATTTATTTTTCCTTATTGTTCACTCTCACAGGATATGCCCCACATCCCCATGTGACTCCACTGCTGTGTGCCAGCCCACAAATACGCCTCAATCAATTCCCACACGCAGTCACGCGCAAACTTCTCACTGCCCCGCCACCGACGACTCCATCCATTCCCCCATTATATCATCAGCTTCCACCACTCCTCCATTCTCCCCAACTCAACCAAGAAAGAAGAACAAATAGCAGAAGCTTGAGAGTCACTAGTGCTCCCTAAAGAAAAAGGAAGATGGCAAAATTGCTTGTGTTGGTTGCTCTCTGTATCCTTCCGGCCATTGCTAGTGCTGCTATTCCTGAACCGTTTACTGTAACTGGAAAGGTCTACTGTGACACTTGCCGTGTTGGTTATGAGACTCCTGCCACCACATATCTCCCTGGTAAGCCTAGCCCTTCACATTTTCACTCATTTTCTCTTTTCTTGTATGGTTTCTCTGTGCTAGCAATTGTGGGTTTAGCTTTAATTGTTAGATCTTGTGGACAGAATCTTCAGATCTCGTGTGTAATGTCTGGATGCTTTGATGTCAGTAAGGATCTAAATGTTCGAGTAGTTCTGAACTAATCCGTTGGATTCTGTGGGGGGTTTTTTTTTTTGGGTTAGTTTAGCCTGAAATGGAGTCCTGATTCTGCTTAAGTAGTATGATTCTGTAGATTTTTTTTTTTTTTTCACTTTTTTAATGGTATTGTTAGGAGAAGTGACTTGCCTGCCTTAGTTTTTGCCTTAGTTTTTGACATGTCCAAAACAGACAAAAGGTAGTACTTTGACAGGAGTTGTGGACTTGTCTAGTGCGGTGTTTGCTTGTTTTGATTTTCAAAATATAGCTTCTATACGTCCATAATCTATTCTTGGTTTTGTTGACAAAGTGAAAATGCATTTGGAGCCCTCAGGTCATTTGATTTATCCTGATAGTTTTGTTTATTCAAATTGGATTTTGTAGCTTGCCAATGATAAAATTTGCTGATGTCTTTGGAGGGTCATCATTTTTGGTTTTGGATCTGTGATATAGGAATTGGAATTCTTGTTTGTACCACTACCAGAAGATTTACAAGTATTTAGGTTCTCTGAGAGTCATAGCATATGAGGTAGCTAGGCATACTAAAACACAAGTAAGCGAACTCGTCAAACAAAAAGGTTATGTCTATGCCTGATTAGGCCTTTCACCTGAGAATAGCTACCAAATGTAAGAAATTTGTGTTAAAAGACATTTGAAGTATCCCATTATCTTCTTGGCAGGTTGCATTGTGAAACTTGTGTGCAAAAAGAGGGATAATCCAGACCAAATCACATTCACCAAAGAGGCTACGACCGACTCTACTGGAAAATATGAAATGCAGGTGGCATATGACGCTGGGGATGATATTTGTGAAATGGAACATGTCAAGAGCTCAGACCCTACATGCGCAACTCCTAATGCTGGCCGTGACCACGCCCGCATTTGCCTCACCCGCAACAATGGCATGGTCTCCAATGTCCGTCATGCCAATAACATTGGCTACTTCCGCGATGTGCCGTTGGCTAGATGCCCACAAATCCTACAGCGATATCAGGATGCGGAGTCAGATTAAGGCCAATGTCATATTGCTCTTTTGATTAGCCTTTATTTTTGCTACAATCTTAGTAGGACTGATACGTTGTTGTGATAATTTGGTGCTATTGGCATCTATAGAATTTGTTTTCCATTGTTCTTGGATGATGGTGTTGTGTCGTTTAACTCTATTATGATTAATTTAATGCTTCATTACATGGTCATTCTGTTGTGGCTTTCCAGTAGTGGATTGTTTCTTTATATTTTCTCTTTGTTCCCTCTTGCTGATTGCTGATTGAGTTTTAGCATAAGCTTTTTCATACTTTTGAAGGTTGGAATAAAAGATCAAATTCTGCTGAATCATTTCAAACCTTTGAGTTGGTCATAGTTCTGGCTAGACCATTTTATCATGTCCAAATTCAGAAAGTTTTTTCTTTTCTTTTCTGCTAGACCCTCTTCCCTCAATGTTCATCTCTATTTTCCCCTGGTGCATTGGGATTCTGTGGTTTTGTACATTTTCTGGGCATTATTTGACCAAAATTTCTCAGCCTAGGATTTGGCTCGATGTTTCATCAATTAATTCAGTGCACAGATAACACTGATGTTCTTAAATTAAAAAGGATAAGAGGGCCAGCAACTGGTTTCGTTAAGTGCTGCCAACAAGTGTGTAAACAATCACAATATGAGCAAAAAACTGAAGTAAACAAGTTATACTTGCCTTACATACACGTCTTCACAAATTTGTGGAAACAATAATAGCTACCGCAGGGAACTGATAAAGGAGGACAACACAGTAGGAATTTCATCAAGCCAATTCACCAAAACATTGAGAAAAAGGATTCTGACCGGGATGTTGTCGATTAAATTTTGATCTGGACTTTACAAGCTGTTAAGACATTGGACATGGGGGAATACTCACATCAGTTATCCCTTCCAACATTGAGATAATATTCTTCAATGATGGGCGAAGAGCTGGTTCATCTTGAATACACCATAGTGCCACCAGGACCATTCTCTCGAATGCATTCTTATCCGTAGAATCATCATCCATAAGTTTGTCCAGCTCCCTGGCTGCAAAGCAGTTATAAGCCCAGGATGGTAGGTGAGTTTCTTCTGGTCGTGATAAATTGACTTGAATGTGTCTTCTGCGGCATATAATTTCCAGCAAAACAATCCCATAACTATAGATATCAACCTTCAGAGTGATGGCAGTTTTTGTCTTCCATTCTGGTGCCATGTATCCCAATGTTCCCCTTTCTCCTGTGAAGGTTCTTGTTTGATCCGGTTGGAGCAACTTAGCCAAGCCGAAGTCACTGATTTTAGCTGTCCAGGATTCATCAAGCAAAATGTTCTGAGGCTTTATGTCACAATGTATTATAGGAGCTTCACATCCCTGGTGGAGATAGCAGATCCCTCTTGCAACGTCAAGTGCTATCCTGACTCTCTCATTCCAGTCTAGGCGCCCCTTTGTCCGGAAGAGAAGATCTGCGAGGGAACCATGGCTCATGTATTCGTATACCAAAAGCCTCTTGGAGCCCTCGGCGCAGAAGCCAAGCAAACGAACCAAATTTTTGTGACGAGCTCTGCCAATCACCCTCATTTCTGCTTTGAACTCCCTCTCGCCCTCCTCAACTACCTTCTCCAATCTTTTTACTGCCACAAAGCTTCTATTGTCAAAAGTTCCTTTATAGACTGCCCCAAAAGAGCCCTTTCCTAACTCTTTCTCTTTCTTAAAGCCGTTAGTTGCCCTCTTCAGCTCATTATAAGTGAATACTCCAATGGTGAATTCCTTAGTCAAGCCAGTTCTTCCTGTGTCCAAAAGCTTCTTGTACTTCATAAGGCGGAATTTGAATATGAAAATGCCAGAGAGGGCAAGAGCAGCGCTTGAATAGGCAAAAGATCCTAAACTTAAGCCAAGAATCAGCGTCCACGGGGGTTTAACATATCCATCTCTTGCTCCTCCATTGATTTTCTTCACTTTGAAAAAAGCTGAGATTGAGACATTAGTATTAATACTATCAATCCTACTGTAGCTTAATGGAAGAGCATATTTCTGACATAAGTCCTGTGACTCGTCAAAAAATGCCGCATCACAATCACAGTCCTCCAAGCAAGATTGAAGGCATTCTTCTTTCCCTAACATCTTTGCAAAGTAAGGGACATCTTTGAACCTGAGATCTTTCAGAGCTGTAAAGTCGTAAATGTCACCGTATTCTTTCCCCCCAATGCACACTGCTCCAGTGGAGTTCCTTTGACAGCCACTGGGGAAATCTGCTACCTTCTCGGTACCTGGTAGACAATTGCAATGGGATTGATTGTTGGACCTGGTGCAATAGGCGTTGACACCACAAAAACTGCTCACATCACACAAATCATCAATTGCTTGCCACACCACAGTTGTTGATTTGTTGGTTGTATTCAGGGAATGAGAATACAAGACTAAATTTCCATCAAAACCAAGGTTTAATCGCAAGATTACATTGTCTTGTTGCAAAGATGAATTGAAGCTGATTATAGACAAGTCCTTGTTACTGACTGTTGATAAATTCGTGTCATTAACCAGCAAAAATGCGCCACTGCTATTGAGGTACTAGCATGATTCTGGCCGTGCATTGCACGGCCTACCCACTGATATGATCAAACAACTTAATCACAGCTGGGCAATCAGGATCATATATGTATATATATGATATGACCAACTGAAAAATGAAGAGGTAAACAATGAATATGCAAATCACAACCATAGATTACATAAACTCAAACATTCATGTCTTAGCAAAACACACACTTCAGTTCAACCCACAGTTACATATTAGGGGGTTTTAATAGGCTTCATTGCCTATTGAGTTACAACATTGATGGTTAAACCATTCATAAATATATTAGGATCCATTACTTTCTAAGTCAAAAGAATAATGGATCATAATATAATTCAAAAGGCATTGTCTAAGCAATCAAGATAGTCATCAAGGCAATGAACAAAAGATATAACAAAAGTGCAGAAATCAGGCATATCAGTCTTCCTTTGCTTTAGGTTTCTTGGCTGGACTGTCTTTGATATTTGCAGGTGGACCATACGATTTTGCAGGTTCTTTGGCAAACTCTTCAGCAGCCTTTGTTGGTTGTTTAGGATCTGTGTCTGCTGGTAAATCTTCTGGAAATTCAAGGCTTCTTTTTGCTCCACTGGTTGCAGATGTCTGGCTGTCTTTGTAAGAACTGGCTCCAGCAATTTCTTCAAGTACCAACTTTGTGCTTGGTGTGAACAATTGATCTTTTGATGATGTTTCTGCATGCCTTGCTGATGAACTGCCAAGTTCAGAAAAAACTTGAGTGTTTTCTGGAAGTTCTAGAGGAAGGGGACGGTCTGATAGTTCAGCTGCAGTATAAGCTTTGATGACAGTATTCTTTCTCTGCAGTTGACCTTGGAAAGGAGTCTCATAGGATTTCAGAAAACAGACCACTGTGTACTTTTTCAAAGCATCATTAAGTTCAGTATCTATTTGAAAGCCCTGCACCAGAAAATTTTTTTAGTTAGGTTCAGTGAATTCCTTTCTATGTATATATGTATTTATGCCTGAATATAAGACAGAAAATTCATACTTACATCTTCTTGTGCTTGTTTAAGCTGCAATGGAGTGAACTCAATCAATTTTCCAGCATCTTCTCCAGATATAATGCAGTGTATTGAGCTCGAAGCATCAGTTATAATAATTGGAATGCGAGCCCTTTAATTGAGTGGAGGAATTAAGATTAATATATGGCAACAAATGCGAATAATATTTAATTTAGAAGCATAAGTTAATGATCTAACCTGAGTTCAACTTCAGTTTGCTGTTTGCATGAAGGACAGTGGATGATCCAGTCAATGTCAGCATTCACAATTTTGTGACAATTCGCACAAGCTGTAGTCCAATATTTGCTGAATCCATATGCAAGTTTGACAGTTCCTTGCACCCAAGCTGCCTTTTGCTGAGGCAGGCAACCGTGAATGGTATTTGAATGTGAATTAGATAATAAATAGTTATATTTAAGCAAAATTGTAGAATAACAATATAGTACTTACAACTGGAAATGATGCCTGAAAATTGCTGATTGCTTTGATATCTTCTTCATTTGGAGGAGGAAGTAAATAGCTTGCATCATTGTATGTTTTAGCATCAAGCAAATTCCTGATTTCTTCCTTGTTCAAGCTGAACCTGAATGATTATGTTCAGAGGACAAATACAAAATTTATCAGTAAAATAAGTTGATAATTTATGGAAAAAACTAAAAAGAAAATTATACTTACCATTGCCTCAAAGATAGCTCATCTGGGAGTGGAGGACTGATCAGAATTCCAGATGAATACCTTGTAGTGAATGACAAAGCTGTAAAAATGATGAAATGGTTTAGTAATTATAACATTAAGTACTTAAAAGACACACAATAAAGAAATCATAATGCATAATGAAAAATTTACTATTGAATGTGGTCACTTTAACACGGAGAGCTATGATTAGAGGGGCAGTGCTAATCATGTCTGCTATTTTGCTCCCTTCATCATGTTCAAATTCATTCCAGAGAGTCATAAGCATGAGTTTCTTCCTGTCAGGTATAACAAATAAATTATAACTACTGCCATTAATCTAAAATGAGTTAATAAAATAGTAGTATTCAGGTTTGATTACTCTTCATTCACTATTATAATGTCTCTAGAAATAGAATCTGGATCTAGCTGCTTTATTGGGAATGCGTGAATGACAAAGCCTCTAATATCTGAAACAAAAGTGTTGATATGAATGTAAGAAATCAATAAAATGTCAAATGACTGTCAAGTAAATTAAAAAATAATGTAACAAAAATTACTGCAAAGGTTATCTGAATCAGCATATTTGTGCAGATCAGAGAAGTTTGTCAGCTCAAATATGCAAGGCAACATAGGTGGCACAGGTTCAGCATAATTTTCAATCAAAGTCTTGTAGTTCAAAATCCAGGAGCATTCATAAGTCCCAACTCTGTATGTTGGGTCAGCAGGAACCACAATTGCATTAGAAACATAATATCGTTGATAAGGCTGCAGAAATTTGCTGAAGGTCTTGATGTGTTGTTCATAAGTCACAACAGAAACTTTTGTTCCCTGATTAGGATTAGGAAAAGTTAGTTATATATATATTATGAGTTATAGCTATAACTATAATGTTTTTGGCTAACATTATATTTATGACACAGAAATTAAAATTATAGAAATGAATACTTTAATAGTTAGGCGAGTATTCACTTGTAATCAAACTATAGTTCTGATATCAGTAGATGAAACTATGGTTCGTATAGATGAAAAGGTTAACTGCCATAAGTATGTCAATTGTTCCAGTTCATTAGTCCTGTGCAAATTTAGATAATTAACATATTATACTCCCACATGCTGTCTGGTACAGCCTGTCTTGATGACCAGCAGAAATATGCAATTTTTCCTCCCCTTAAGCTTTTACAATTTCATTATCTGTTTAGTGTGTGTGTTTTTTGTGAGATGTAATAAGCAATAATGTAACAGGGTAAACTGGAATTGCATATGTATATGTTTGTGATATGCTCATAACAAAGGTTTGTAATGCTAGAATAACTTCAGTATAAGGTAACCAACACTTGATAACAAACATGTATCTAAATATGCTGATAAGGAGGTTATTCCCATATTATTGGGTTTTTTTTTTGTGGGGGGGGGGTTCGAAGGAAGTTCATGGAGCAGGAGCTACTCTTGACCAGATACTCTTTTTTTTTTTTGATGTCACAGATTGAGAACATTCTTCTTTTTCTTCTGGACCAACAAAGCCTACTTGCTAGCTGGATAGAAAAACTTAATGAACAGCAAGATTCCCTTCAGGAGCAGGTTGATATAAGTAAGATGTCAGAGTTCTAAATTCACTGATTACTATGTCAAAAGTGGTGCTAATCATCCTTATTCTCAGCTTCAGCAAGTTTTCAACCATGTGGTAATGAAGAGGCAAATCATAAAATGTTCGTTTACAGAATCTAAAATATTCTCATCTATGAATTTAATTAATGACCAGAGAGATAGGAAAGAATTGCTGACCTCAGTATCTGTGAGCAGAAAACGCATAATTCGCCTAGGTGGAACTTCACGAGTTAATTGACTGTGGCCTCTGTGAACAACTTGTGCCAGAACAGTCCACTTTTCTGCTCCTTTCTGAATGTTTAGTATGGAAGATATATGTCTAGGCATGATGGGCTGTATTTGTACAGAAATTAGATAGTGAATTAAACAAAATAATAAAGTTGAAAAAAAGGGCATGAATATTAAAACCTGATAATACAATCTGGGAAGCTTCGAGAACTTCTTTATATACTATATTTTTAGTATGATCAGTGCATGATTCATCAAAATAAGCTGGCCTAATAAGTACTTTTACAGCCGAAGCTGTTTTGGCTCTTGAAAGTGCAACATATAATTGGCCATGTGAAAATACAGGTTCTTTCAAATAAATACCAACAAAATCTAAAGTTTGGCCTTGTGCTTTATTTATTGTCATTGCAAAGCACAAACGAATTGGAAATTGTGTTCTCTTATATGGAACTGGATATTGTTCATCACTTGGTGGCTGCAAGGAAATTCTATGTATAAAAACTTCTTTGCCACAAAAATCACCAACTGCAATTTTAGCACAAATAACATTCTTGCTCAAACTCTTTATTATCAGTCTAGTTCCATTGCATAATCCTTCAGCAGGATCAAGATTTCTTAAAAGAATTATTGGGGCATTCGATTTTAAGAGTAACCTATGTGGAGGTAAATTGCTTGGCGTAAGAGTATTCAAAAGATCAATATATTCAGATTGATGATTTTCATTCAGTGTTTCATCATAGCTTAGGTACTCAGTCAAATCTCCTGGAAATTTTTTGATCAATTGATCATTTATTTCATCTACAAAGTTATTCTTTGTAGTTAGAATTGCTCTATTTTGTGAGCAATACAGTTTGTTTGAAGGATCTTTAAATTCAGGATACACAATATTGATTAGCTTTTCAATTGCATCAGTCTCATTATTATAGTTAACTATAATTGAAGATGGAAGTTTTACTATGTCATTTTCATTTGTTTCTTGTGTCCCATCTCCAATTCTTAAAAGAAACTGCGTGAATGAAGGATCTAATTTTGCTCTCATGTTCTCTATTAATTGCAATTTCTCTAATTTGTGCCATAATGGAGAATTTATCAAACATGCATTTATCATTTCAGCTTTTGTTCCTTTTCTAACAACTGGCAATGTTTGTCTAAAATCTCCTCCAAGTACAACTACCTTTCCCCCAAATATTTCTTCTGAATTCATTAAATCTCTTAAGAGATCATCTAAAGCTTCAATTGCTGCCTTTTTAGCCATTGGTGCTTCATCCCAGATTATGAGTTTTGCTTCTTTGATCATTGCAGCTAAAGAAGTTTGTTTACTGACCCGACATGTTGCACCATCAAAGATATCTATTGGAATTTTAAATCTGGAATGTGCAGTCCTTCCACCTGGTAAAATGGAAGCTGCAATTCCTGATGTAGCTGTAGCAAGAGCAAGATAGCCTTTAGATCTAACATCAGCTAACAAAGCTCTATAGAGAAATGTTTTTCCAGTACCACCTGAACCGTCAATGAAAAAAACACCAGGTCTATCTGAGTAAATTCTCTCAGATATGACTACGAATGCTTTTTTCTGTTTTTCATTGAGTAGCTCAATTGAATTTAAGTCAATATCTGAAATGACAATGTTTCTTTCTGCTCTTAATTCTCGAGTTTCATTGTCTATATTTTCATAAGAGAATCCAATGGGAATCAAATTATACAAATGTATACTTTTTCCCATCGATTGCAAAAATCCATCAATTTGTTGCAAAACATTTCTTTTCACTTGTGTAGATGTCATTGCTGAACATTTGGCAAAATCTTCTGACATAGAAGATTCAAAATTTTGCCACAATGCCTTTGGGTCATTAGGGCAAGAATAAACCAAAAGTGTTGCAAAGAGTCTCCTCATTTCATAGGGCATATGAAAAAGTGAGGCTTCTTGTAAACAAATTTCTTGGCTGTTATCATTTTGTAACAAGCCTCGAATTAATGCTGCTTCTTGGAACGTTTCTACTTGAACTCCATTAAAGGTTCTTAGGTCATCAAATGAAATTGGACATCTAACCTTTGATAAGAGTAATCTCAAGTAGTATCGTTCTCCTTCGGAAGGATGAGCAGTCATTATTCGACCTATTGATTCACCTCTTTCTCTCAATTTCCAGTATTTTTGCTTAGGTAACCAGACAAAATGATCAGGAAATTCTACATAAGTACAATTTAGATCCTGAGCTGCTTTATCTGTCCTATTCATGTAAAAAAATTCAGTGAGCATTGTTTTTTTCAAATGATAGTTATCGACAACATTTTGAAGATTAGCTGTTTTTTTGAAACTCATTGGCTGATAATTCTCCAAATGTAATTGTAAATGAATAATAGGTGGCTTTATTTCACTCATACAGAATCTAAAAATTCTCCATGCTGCCTCAGGTGGAGAAACCCACCTAGCTGATACATATTGTTTAATTTCATCAATTTCTGAATCAGATTTATTATTCACTACAGAGAAGCTAGTTCTATCATGACCTTTATAGATATACTTGTAAATGTATTTGACTGCTTTAATTGTAGAGCATATTTCAACATTAAGATGACAATCAAATTTAGCCAAAAGATATGGATTGTATGGTACAACCCATCTGTTATCTAAAAGAGTTGATTTAATCTTAATTTGAACTCCATCATCTCTCCTTCGATATTCAGGATATGCATTAAGAGTTTGGATAGTTTCCTCACAGAAATTTTTAGGAAAATTATTCTTGCAAGTTCCATTTTTTCTCATGCATACATTTGTTGGATCAAGTGAACCACATGGTCCATGAAGCATATGTTTAATGACCAAATTATATAGATGTTCATTTTTCTCTTTATTTGGTATCTCGGCACAAACAATTTTATCATATTCTTCAGGGGTATACATCTTGAATTTTGACTTTAAAATTAGCAAGAAATGTGCATGTGGCAGTCCACGTTTTTGGTATTCAATGACATAAGTGTAAGCTGCCACTTCACCGAAGATGCATTTTTTCAAAAGTTCATCTCTAAGCTGTTCTAACTTAGCATGAAATACTCTAGCAAGCAAATCTGGTCTGTTTTGTGCCTCTTCTTTGTCTATTAAGTGTTCTTTTATTTCTGGCCAATTAGGATTGCAAGTCATGGTCAGAAATATATCCGGTTTACCATACTTCTGTACTAATGTCATTGCATCCATGTATTTACGTCTCATATTTCTCGGCCCTCCAATAAATGATGGCGGTAATATGATACGTTGGCCAACATTAGATGCTTGACTCTCACCTGATCCTAAAGCATCTATTATGCCTTTCAAGAACTCTCTCCTAATTTCCTCTTGTTGTAATCTATAGAAGTCAAGTCTTTGTGTCTCAAGCTTCACATATTGATCAACAATATATTGTTGTAGGAGGCGAGCAAAATGTAATAGCCAAGATTCATCATTGTCCCTAATCTGAAGTTTATAACAATAGTATTCTCGAAGGGACACAAAATTTGGATCTTCATGTATGTTTTCCATTGCTGTGGAAAAAATAATAGTACATTATTAAATGTGTAATCATAAATATTAAATAGGTAAAATGAAAGATCATGGCATATATTTATTATACTAACCATGTTCTTCATTTTGGATTAATTGTTCTGCTGTAGCAGCATTTGCAGGGGAAATCAAATCTGCTACAGGTTGTTTTTTTTTCCTCTTTCTTCCATATACTTTTGCTCCTTTCTTTGGTATTCCTTGGTGCCAGCCAAGATCACCAAAAGGAAAAAGTATTGGATATTGGAGTGGATCATAACATCCATAATAGTACTGTATATTTTTTGAAGCACCACTATGGGTATGAACTCTAATATCACGCCTGCCGGTTTCTCCATTTTCTTGCCCCTCAACCCACAAACCAGCAACTTGTGAAGTTGTCGGTCTATTATAAACTCTTTGATCAACACCGGGCAGAGTTTTTAACACAATGTAGTAGTTATCTAAATTAGGTACCTCTCTCAAATTTCTAAAAAATTTTGCATATGGATTAGACTCAAGAACTTGCATAATTTTTCTAATCACACTTTCAGATAGTCTAGGACAAGCTGCTAATCGATTGCTTACTTCAGTTTCAAAATCATTGAAATATAACTGTAAATTATTACTATGATCATTGGTTGAATTGAAATCATTCAGAAAATGATATATTTGTCCTTGAATTCTAAAAGTGTAAATTCCTTTATTCCTTTTTGAGAGAGTCAGATCAGCTTTAACACCGAAGGAAGTGAATCCAAAATGATTATTATACGTTCTAATAAGAGCTCTAAAAGATTGTGCCTCTTGTGAAGATGAAGTCAATAGCTCTTTAAAGATATCTGGAATTTTATTTTGAGCTAAAATAACTTCACCATCTTGGCAACAAAAATATGCTGTCTCAGAAAAAAACTTCTTCGCTCCACAATGAGGACAATCTAGTTGGCGTGGTAGGATATCAGCTTTGTCAGGAATTATATCCAACAAAGCTCTTCCTGTTTTGCATCCTCTTCCTAAAATATAATTATTTTAGAGAACTTAGTAGTCAAATCATTCAATTGATTTTAATGCTAGTTTAAAAACAGATATTAGAAAACTTAAAAATATTAACTATAGACCTGGTTGAGTTTTTTTCAGAGATGATCTGCGATGTTTGGAATGAGATCGAGAAGTACGCTGAACATCAACAGCTGAGGAACACTCATTCACAATCATGATGCTTGTTCGATTTTCAATTATATTTGTAGAAGCAATAGATTTAGATTTTGCTCTCAATCTTTTGTTTTTCCATCTAAAGTAGGCCAGTCTCCTATATTCTTTTTTATTTATTACCTCTCCATGATATATTTCAGAATATTCAAGAGGGCTCTTATCATAAGGACCAATTGATCTAGATTTTCCTCTCAATTTTTTCTGTTTCCATCTAAAGTAGGCCTGCCTCCTATATGCTTTCTTATTTATCACCCCTTCATGATATATTTCAGAATAGTCAAGAGGGCTCTTATCATGATATATTTCAGAATAGTCAAGAGGGTTCTTATCATAAGATATAACAGATGTACTACCTATTATAGGTATATGGCTATTCACAGAAAGGGGAGGAATATAATTAGCTAGTTCCATATCTAGATTTGATATTTCAGAATAGCTAATTATTTCTTTAACGTTTGCAACTTGTTCACTCTGAAACTGATTTTCTGTAACAAATGGTTCCTCATTGAAGTTCACTTGTGACAAAGCAGCAGGTTCAACACCACAGAGGTTGATTAAAGATGAATTCATTGTAGGCAAACAATGCTTGTCAGTAGAATCAGAGGTATAATGAACTTCTCCAGTTTTTTTTGGAGGTAAGTAAACATTTTTACCCCTGCAGTCATTTGGCAGAATTACATTCCTATCGATGTGATTTTGTGAAGCACATGTTTCAACAGAGTGCTTTTCACGGATGTCATTCTCACAGTTCATTACAATAGGAGAATATGGTTGAGAAACAGAAGAATCAAGAGTAAACTTCATATGCTCAGTCAGCATATTTAAGTTTCTCCTTTTGTTTCTTTCCAACATTGCTAAATCAAGGGAATCATCAAACATCTCATCTATCAATCTAAAACCTGAACTAAATTTTCTTTTTTTCTTCATTTTGAAACACAGAAGATCAAAACCTAATTTTACTATAAATAAAGCAAGATACTAAACCAAAGGCACACAAAATGACAGAATCAAAGCATCCTAGAATAGCTAAAACTAACTAATATATATAAAATGGCAACCTTAATAACCCGAAGTACAATGATACTAAATGATGTAATTATTGAATAGATAAACAACTAACAGCATCATGCAACATTTGAAATTAAAAACAGAGGCAAAAGTAAAGCATCATAGCATAACATCAAACACATCGCATTTCTTATAATTAAAAGAAAGCAATAAACACAGGCAACAACAATGGGAAAAAATTGCAGTTCAAATCAGAAGGTGAGAAAACAGAAACATACCTATATTTTTTTTGCTCGCCTGAATGTTGGCAAAAGTCCGGCAGCATTTGAAATGAATATAAAAAGAGAGGAAAAAGTAAAGGTAAGCTAATCGAAAAATTACCATCATAATTATTCTTTTATGCATAATATAAAAGACATGGCAGTCTTTAATTAACGGAAGGCAATAATAAATGAACAGAAGGTAAGAACATTCATCAAAGTAAAAAAATGCAGGCTGAAATAAAAAGACAGAGAATAGAAAATACCTAGATTTTCTTCGCTCGTCTGCTGCGGCAAAACTGAGAAACAAAAGTATATATAGGGCTGGGAATACAGCCCATTTTGAAAGCTGCATCACAGCATACGTCGGTAGAACATGCATCCCTAAAATGAGCTGATTTTGGGGAAAAAGAGATATCAGTGAACTGTTTTTTGGGGCAAAAGAAGAATTGACGTCAATTGGGCGACTTTTTTAGAGACAATCGAAAGGAAGTACAGTTAATTGCTCGAGGAATTGACAGAAAATCGAAGATTTTGCAGGGCCGTAGATTTTGGGGAAAAGGAATTTTACTGACCTAATTTTTGGGGCAGGCCAAGAATTCACGTGCGTGTGGAGGATTTTCTGGGTTGAAATCAAATTGAAGGACAATTTAGTTGTTGAAGGATTCGGTAAGAAACTGAAAATTTTGCAGGCCGATATGGTATAGCGACCTATTCGATTGAGAGAAAGAAAAAGGCTATTCGACAGAAAAGAAGGGGAAGGGAATTCTGGCTAAATGAAGAAAGAAGGAAGTTCAATAACTAATAAGACAATTAAGGTGGTGTTGACTAACTTTAACATCAGTCATAACGGCCAAGTACATTACTTCTAACGGACATAACTCCATTAATTTATATTAATTATATAATGAATCATATAATCTAATTCAAAACAGCCCATGTGATAAAAGGGCCCACAAATAGTTTACAATTATTTGCACTTGATCAGAAAATTATAAAAGAAATATTTTCAAATATACAAAAATAACCCTAAATAGTTAGCAACTATTTAATGAGCTAGTTTTCATAAAAGGATTCAATTGACCTTTCACATCAATTAAAAACCAAACAAAAGGAACAAATGCAAATAATTAAACCATTGTTACCAATTAGCCCCAAAATAGTAAGGAACTATTAAGACTTTGCATTTGAAGACCATGCCTGAAATAGACATTTCTCACTTTTTGGTAGAAAAAACCAGAAAAAAACTCCTTTCTCTAACAATATAGTGACACTTGGCATTCAATTGAGAACTCCAATTGTTCTCTTATCTAGTTGGTAGATAGGCTTCGCGGCGGGGTACTCATGTCAGTGTCAGAACTCCAATAGGCACTTTCAACAGTGTCTCCTGCCTTGGCAGGATAAGCAACAAGATTTCCATCAGATTGCGCAACTAGACTGTATCTTCCAGTTGAGTGATTGGTTGAAGAAAGATTAGAATATAGTCGATGGTCATGGTGCAGAAATTGGTCCTCTAAGATGGTATCTGTAGGGAAGTCGAAACTCCGCCAGATAACTTGATCTTGTTCATTGTAAATAACAAGATTTCCAGAGTCTAGCATGGAGGGACACTTGGGTTGCTCATTCTGCTCGGGAGTAATAAACCTATTCTCATTCCCAGGGCTTGCCAACATGATCCTTCCACTGGTGAACTGGAGAATTGCATTTGATGATACTGCTGCATCATCTCTAGTGGCTGTCCAAACAATAGTATCATTTGAGTTATCCACTAACCAAATTCCAACTTTAAAACCTGATCCTTCTTGAAAGAATCCGAACGCAAATCGACTGGAAGGTGAGAGCCATATAGTTGACTGATCGGATGCTGAAATAGTGGAATACTGGCACACCACCTGCTGTTGAGCTCCGGCAAGATCTTTGGAAGCCAATGTCAGGAGTAGCAAGAAAAAAACTGCAAGAGAGGTCATTAGGGATTATTGGAATGTTATCAAAACTCAAAAGTGCTTTAATAATAGCTCAGGATGCATTCAAGAAGAGCATTCTGATTTTTGGGAAAATTTTTTCCAAATAATCTTCTATCAAAGCATACTCATTATTTTTTTTTTCCGGAGACGATAAACCTAATCTATCCTACACTAAGGGGGAGGGGGCGGACTTAAGGAGGTTTAGGAGTAACTCGGAGGGGAGTGAATCACCACCGGACCAGATGGGTGCACAGCATACCCACATGAATTTTTTAGAAACAAGTCACTTAAATGTGGCATTTTTGGTTTTAGAAACAAAGCACACTCATTATTTGTGTGGTGGAAAGAGGGGGATAAAAAAAAACCACGGAAACATGGCCAAGTTTAATAGAAACCGAGGACTGTTTAGAATTGTAAACAGAAGTTGTCTACATCTTGACTAAGCCATTGATGAAGTGCATTACAATTTTTCACAATAATGACGTAGACAATCACCGAGAAAGTGCATTACAATTTTTCACAATAACAATTTTCTACAATAATGATGATGACAATCACTGAGGAAGTGCATTACAATTTTCCACAATAATGATGAAAACAATCACTGAGAAATCGTATTACTTCTTTTGTCCTACTTTGATAATTTTGTTTTCTTTTTTCGTCTGTCTCAAATTGTAGTTCATTTTTCAAATGCAAAATATAGTTATCTTTTAATTTTCTTATTCAATGTGGGTTGTTATTAGTATAAATTATCTTTTTTAATATTAGATTGTTAACCTATTCTATTTAACACATTTAGATTTTTCAAAATAGATTGATATATGAAAAGCCAACTTTGTTATTCTTTCAAATTTATTTATATCAGTAGGGAAACAAACGATGTCATCATTTTCTACAAATCATGAGTGAAAATTTGTAAAACCATCCATATTCTCATAGTTAACCATACATATTCCATGAATAATTGATATAAAGTTGTACTTTATTTAATGTAAGGGTATTTTAGAAAAATGGCAATCTAAACTTATTTTTCTAACAAAGTTAACTACTTTTTCTTAAATTGTGTGAAAAAAATAGAACTATCAAAATTGAATAGAGGGAGTACAATTTTTCACAATAACAATATTTCACAATAATGATGAAGACAATCATCGAGGAAGTGCATTACAATTTTTGACAATAATAATGAGGACAATTGATGAAGAGGATTATAATTTTTCACGATAATGATAAAGACAATTACCAAAGAAATGCATTACAATTTTTCACAATAATGATGAAGACAATCACCAAGGAAGTGCAATACAATTTTCCACAATAATAACGAAAACAATCACCGAGAAAGTGCATTGCAATTTTCCGCAATAATGACAAAGACAATGACAATCACCGAAAAAGTGCATTACAATTTTCGAAAAAGTGCATTACAATTTTTGAGAAAATGCATTACAATTTTCCACAATAATGACAAAGACGATGACAATCACCGAAAAAGTGCATTACAATTTTCGAGAAAGTGCATTACAATTTTCCACAATAATGACAAAGACAATGACGACAAAGACAATGACAATCACCGAGAAAGTGCATTACAATTTTCGAGAAAGTGCATTACAATTTTCCACAATAATGACAAAGACGATGACAATCACCGAGAAAGTGCATTACAATTTTCCACAACAACAATTTTCTACAATAATGATGAAGACAATCACTGAGAAAGTGCATTACAATTTTCCACAATAACGATGAAAACAATCATCCAGAAAGTGTATTACTCATTTCATTCCACTTTGATAGTCTTGTTTTCTTTTTCTGTCTGTTCCAAATTATAGTTCATTTTTTAATTGAAATTAGTGTGTTTGGATTATAAATTATTTGAGATATTTTTACTGTAGCACTTTTTGTGATGTGATGCATGTGAGATAAAAAGGTAATTGGGAAGATAAAAAGGTATATTGGAAATTGTAATGGTGATGTAAGCAAATATATTTGGATAAATTGTAATTAAAGAAAATTATAATTTCTTTTAATTTCTTTAAAATACCGTTGTTCAATGTAGGTGATGCATTACAATTTTTCACAATAATCACATTTATGATGAAGGCAATCACCGAGGAAGTGCATTACAATTTTTCACAATAATCATCAAGACAATCACCAAGGAAGTGCGATACAATTTTCCACAATAATGACGAAGACAATCACCGAGAAAGTGCATTACAATTTTCCACAATAATGACAAAGACAATGACAATCACCGAGAAAGTGCATTACAATTTTTCCGAGAAAGTGCATTACAATTTTCCACAATAATGACAAAGACAATCACCAAAAAAGTGCATTTTAATTTTCCACAATAACAATTTTTCACAATAATGATGAAAACAATCACCGAGGAAGTGCATTTCAATTTTATATGATGAAAACAATCAATGACTCAGTCAAAATGTAAACAACTTCTGTCTAGAATTCTAAATACTCCAGTCAACTACATTAAAGTTACCGGAACAAAAATCTTAGACATTAATTCTTGAAAATCAAGCATAAAAGCCATGAAACTTCACATTAGAAAAATAGCAAACATCTACCTCAATTGCTATCAAAAAAAGGAAATATCTATCACATTAGATGGTGTCAATGTGTA